GTGATCCTGTGTACAGCAGAGCTGAACCCTGCGCAGTCTTTTGGGCCGTCCTCTCACCTCCTAGCACTATATCAGATAATGCTCTGGTGCTATTCCTAGGGTTTTCATGGCCAATTTTTCATAAGTGGGTGACCAGGTCCTTTTTCCTAGTCTGTCTTAGGAAGACTCGCTGAAATCTGTTCACCGTGGGTGACCCTGCTGGTATGTGACATACCAGTGGCATAGCTTTCAGTATCACAGCAACACACAGCCACCACAATATGACAACTGACATACTTCCCATTTATTTAGGTCTTATTTAATCTTTTTTTAATAGTGTTTTGTAGTTTTTTACATATTGCACTTATTTTAAAAAGTGTATTATTAAGTATTTTATTCTTTTGATGCTATTGTAAATGTGATTGCTTTTTTAACTTTATTTTTGGATTGATCATTCAAGTGTATAGAAATATAATTGATTTATGTATATTTATCTTATATACTACAACCTTGCTGAACTCTTTTATGTTATCTGCAGATAGATGCAAATATGTTTACTTCTTTCTTTTCAATGTGGATATATTTTATTTCATTTTCCTGCATAATTGCCCTGCCATGACCTCCTAATACAATGTTAGATAGAAGTAGTGAGAGCAGACATCCTTTTCTTGTTTCTGATCTTAGGGAGAAAGCATTCAGTCTTTCACCATTAAGTATGATAATAGTTGTGGGTTTGTCATAGATATCTTTTATCAGGTTGAGAAATTTCCCTTTTATTCCTAGTTTATTGAGTGCTTTTATTGTGAATGGATGTTGGATTTCATCATATGCTTTTCCTGTACCTTTTGATGTGATCATGTGGCTTTTGTCCCTAATTCTTATTCATATGGTGTATTACAGTAATTTATTATTTATTATAACCATCCTTGCATTCCTGGGATAAATCCCACTTAGTCATGCTATAAAAACCTTTTTATATGTTGCTGGATTCTGTTTGCTAGTGTTTTGTTGAATATTTTTAAAAAATCTTATTCATAAGTTATGTTCATAACCACAACCTTATACTCAATCTGGGGAAATGGCAATTAGTACTCCAGTATTGTCAGTCTGCTGTGTCTGAGGTACAGAGGCTAACCCTATCAGTAGGGGCTTGGAGGAGGAGGGAATTCCCAATATCTAAACTGCACTTGCAGGAATTGAGCCAATGCAAATCAGACCTGTGAAGATAAGAATCCTAGTGGTCTGCCCTTCCACTGAGATACCTACTATTATGATCTGTTTCTACTCACAACAATTCTGACTCCAAATGTGTGAGTAATTCACACAAAGTAATTCTCCAGTTCTCTGCAGACACCAACTAGGTGTCCCACAATTTAATTCAACTCTGAAGCTAAATATCCAGAGTTAGTGCAGATCCCACACGTTAAGGGCTCCGTCCCATAAGACTGCCTCCCACTTTGGATGCCAGTCACAAGTGGTGGGTCTCCAGGTTACTTCCACTTCTATCTGACCTGGCTCAAATTGAGAGTTCCCACGGCCCCCTCCTCGGGTTCAATAATTTGGTATAACAGCTCACAGATCTCAGGGAAATACTTTACTTACTATTACCAGTCTATTGTACAAGGATACAAATGAACAGCCAGATGAAGAGGTATATAGGGCAAGGTCATGAAGGGTCCTGAGCACAAGAGCTTCTGTCCCTATGGAGTTTAGAGTGTGTCACACTCCTGACATGTGGATGTGCTCACCAACCTGGAAGCTCATCAAATCTCATTGTTCAAGAGTTTTTATAGAGCTTAATCTCCAGTCTCTCCTTCCCCCCTTCCTAAGGGTCAATGAGTGAGGCTGAAAATTACAACTTTCTAATCACCTGCCCCATCCTGCGGCTATCTGAGGGCTCCACCCTAAGCCATCTCATTAGCATAAACTCAGGTGTGATCAGAAGAGCTTGTTATGAATAACAACACTTCTCTCACTCTGGAAATTCTTTTTTTTTTTTTATTTTCCTCCCCAAAGCCCCAGTAGGTAGTTGTATATCACACTTGCACATCCTTCTAGCTGCTGTTTGTGGGGCACTGCCTCAGCATGGCCAGACAAAGCAGTGCGTCGGTGCACGCCCGGGATCCGAACCTGGGCCACCAGTAGGGGAGCGCGCGCACTTAACCGCTAAGCCACAGGGCCGGCCCCACTCTGGAAATTCTAAGGGCTTTAGGAGCTCTGTTTCTGGAATCAGGGGCAAAGACCACATATCTTTCTTATTATGCCACAATACTATATCCAGTAATGTGCCACATAACAACGTTTCTGCCAATGATGGACCACGTATACAATGGTAGTCCGGTAAGATTAGTACCATATAGCCTAGGTGTGTAGTAAGCTATCTTATCTAGGTTTGTGTAAGTACACTCTGTGATGTTCACACAGTGACAAAATCACCTAATGACACATTTCTCAAAATGTATCCCCATTGTTAAATGGCATATGACTACTTTGTGAACTAGGGGAAGAGAGAGCTCTGTCTTCTTGGCAGTACTCTTCTGGAATGAGGAGCGGTGCTTTGGACACACAGGGTGGGAGGGTAAGAGTCAATGTTATCTCAAGTGCCACAGACTTTTGCTGTTCTTAGTGAGATTTCATAGAGTTTCTTGAATAAATGTTTCTTCATTTTCTGAATGGTCTTCTTTCTGAATTTCTAGAGACTTTAATTATTTTTTTTAAATAATTTTCAGCAGTCATAGGTATTTCATTGAAGAGCAGTTCTGCAGAGCTACTCATGCCATCATTCTGGAAGTAGAACCTCTATGAAGTCCCTCCTTTGTTTTTTTTAATTTTATTTATTTATTTTTTCCCCCAAAGCCCCAGTAGATAGTTGTATGTCATAGCTGCACATCCCTCCAGTTGCTGTATGTGGGATGCGGCCTCAGCGTGGCCGGAGAAGCGGTGCGTCGGTGCGCGCCCGGGATCCGAACCCGGGCCGCCAGTAGCGGAGTGCGTGCACTTAACCGCTAAGCCACAGGGCTGGCCCCCTCCTTTGTTTTTGATGAGAGTTTATATTAATAAATGTGATCCAAGTTTTGCTTTACAAGCATGATTTCCCTTCACCCGACACATTCACATATTATACGTTAGTCATCTTACAATGTTATTGTGTAATTTTTTTTGTGAGGAAGATTGGCCCTGAGCTAACATCTGCCAATCCTCCTCTTTTTGCTGAGGAAGACTGGCCCTGGGCTAACATCTGAGCCTCTTTCTCCACTTTATATGGGATGCTGCCACAGCATGGCTTGCCAAGCAGTGCATTGGTGTGCGCCCGGCATCTGAACCAGTGAACCCCGGGCCACCGCAGTAGAGCGCGCACACTTAACCACTTGCGCCAGTGGGCTGGCCCCTTGTATAATTTTTTTTGTTACCACACAAAGGGCGCAATCTACTCGCCACAAGACAAAAGCCAATTGTCAAGAGGAAAGATAGTGACAGAGAAAGGGCATTTTATTACAGCTTGCTAGCAAGAGGGAAGATGGCTGACTTTTGTCCAAAAGAACCATCTTAAGGGGCAAAAAATCTTACAGCAGTTATATAGGCCATAGGGCTATAGGGGAGGGGGTTAGGAATGTTGACCCTCTGGTGTTACAGATTGGGAGTCGCCACACTAGATCTTTCAGTTTTCATTGATGATGGCTATCAGCATAGACTGTCTGTTCAAGGGTCATCACATTTCTAAGGAACTCAAAAGAACAGAATTATCGTCTTATTGCAGCTGGGAGGTACGTGCACAAGCAGGGGTTGTAAAATCTACAGAGCAGTTAGATCTCCTGGAGGGTACATATCTAGCTGGGTTAGTCAGAGGTCATTCAAAGTTACAGTAGGGTTTCTTTTCTGCAATATGGCTTCCCTTACGTCAACCTTGTCTTGAGCTGGTATCATTTTCATGATTTGACTAATGATGATATTTGTTCTATGTCACAGAGGTACCGTCTGTTAGACAGACCTTTTGACCAAAGGAACTGTGCCTCTTTTTCAGCTCTAGGAATGTTTGAAAGCTGATGTATATGGGGAGCCCCCAGTCTAGGGGCCATATCCCAGTCCCACTCCATCATAGGCTAAATTATTCTATCACAGCTACTTTTAATATACTGTGACATGTCCTGAGAACTTCCTAGACTTCTGGAGGCCTAGAACTTTCTTGCTTACAGACAAGTGCTATTCAGGGAAATTGTTCCTTAGCTTAAACTAATCTTCCCTTCTAGTCCACTGCTTCCCTTATTTTGCTTTTTATTGAGGTGAAAACCTTTTAGATGATGTAAAATCAACTAGAGTTTGGAGGGTAGCCTTACTTGGAAGGTCCTAAGACCTGACTGAAATCCTGTTATATTGAAGGTGGAAGAAAGATTTCTTTTCTCATCCCTGCTTTAAATATCTAAATAATAAAGATGGTGAGGTTAGAGTTTGTGAAAAAAGAGAGTTTCTTTGATTAAATTTCCTAGTCTTTTAAATGTGGGCAAATGCTGACTTTACCTCTCTCATACTATAGAGAATCTCTGTCTCTACTTGATAAGCTGGACTCCTGGGTATATGCGTTTTTGGGAACCAAAACTAGGAATTTTATCTTTTTTTTATCTCTTAAATAAAACTCCCTTTTATAATAAATCTCTAGTTCTGTTCTAGGGTGTATTTGATTTTTTTCAAATACTTGGACTAGACTGCCTTATGTATCAAATTAAGGGATTAATTGTGTTACCATTGGAAGTTGAGTAGGCCAAACTTTTCTGTAGTATTACCTTTCCAAAGATAATAGAGTATACCAAATATTTTATAAAAATCTAAGAAAATCATGGCTTAAATTTTGTACCAACTTTGATATAAACCGTTATGCAAATTAAAACATATTTTAAAATTTTGCTTAAGTTTGTTAGTTATTGTCTATATTTTGTTCAAATTATCATGACTTTTTTTTCCCTTATGTTTTGAAATGTTACTGTTTTCTAGATTTTTTAAATTAGATGTAAATGTCATTTTTTTAGACTAAACTTCAGTGGCTCTGTGAGGAACTGAGAGAGAGAGAAAACAGAGAGAAAAGTCTGCGGCACCAGCTGATGCTGTGCAGACAACAACTCAAGAATATGACCGACAACAAGGAATGTGAGCTCCAATGTCTCTTTGAACAGATAGAAAGGCAGGAGCAGCTTCTGGAAGAAATACATCGGGAGAAGAGAGGTGTGTTAGCTGCTCTTACTCTTATTTTTTTTGTTTATATTCATGGAATCCTACGATTGGAAAAAAACCTATTTCTCTTGCCCCAGTTCAGATTATTTCCAAATCTGTCTCCTTTCCTTGTCTCTTGTCTTTTTGTCTTTCTTCATTTCTGTGTCCAGAAGAGAAAACTGTGCCACCCTGAGAGTTTTTCTTTCAGCGCTGTATCCCTGCTGTGCACATTTGTGTCTCTTGGCCATTTGCAAATTTTAATTTGCAAGACGTGTTTGTTCTTCCCTGGTAAAATGCCAAAATTTATATTTTACTTCAGTAAAATATCCATTAGTTCATTCAACAAATATTTATTTTATGCCTATTTTGTCTTAGGCACTGTTACAGGTGCTGAAGATACATCAGTGGATAAAGCGGAAAAGAATCCTGCTCTTGTTTAGCTTACATTACATTGAGTGGGGTGACAGAAACTAAATGTGATAAATAGGTGAATTATATTAGAAGGTTATAAGCACAATGGTGAAAACAATAAAGTAAGAGAAGGAGAGTTTGGGAGAGCAGGGGGCACGGTTTAATGTGTAGGCAATACTTAACTTTAAAAGTTAGATAAGAGACTTGGAAAACTACTTTTCTGTTTGGTTCTACTAGAGATACATCATGATGGGAAGAAGAAAAACAGCATTATGTATTGAATCCTATATGTAAATTATGTTGTGTTAGCTTTAGACCTTTTCTTTATTGGTGAACTTTATTAATTTAAGAACCAGAAAGAGGCTTAATACAGTGTCCCAATAAGAAAAACTAAACATTAACATATAGTAATCCTTTTTAAAATAAATTTTTTAGTTTTAATTTTAGTTATCAGCATTATTCTCTCCACATGTATCACTTAAAAATCGTTTATTACAATAGTGTAGTGATTCTCAATTTTTTTTTTTTCAGGACCACTTTACATTCTTAAAAGCTCTTTGAGTTCTCAAAAATTTTATTAATGTGCGTTATGTGTATCAAAACTTACCATATTAAAAATTAAAACTAAGAATTTAAAAAATATTTATTCCTTAAAAATAATAATTATAAACCCATTACATATTAAAATAAAAATTAATGAAATATAACTCTTTTCCAAGACAAAATTGTTTTGCACTTTTGTAAATCTCTTTAATTGCTGTCATAAAAGAAAACAGCTGCATTTTCATTTTTGCTTCTGCATTTAATCTATTATATTACATGTCATGTAACCTCTGGAAAAACTACTTTATATTTATGAGAAATTGAGTGTGAAAAGGCAAATAATGTCTTAGTATTATAATTAAGGTGTCTTGGATTATCCCCAAACCACCCTTTGAGCATAGCTGCCCTAGTGCAGTTGAAAGATGTAAACTGTGCCAATAGTAAAAGTCAGAGGATGCCCTTGTAGTCTTTTAAATGGCAATACAATAGTATCTAATTATGGAACTTAGAGCTAAAACACCATAATGGTCTCTGTACATGTTATGGACTATTCACTAATTAACACTAGATTACAGCCCAGTTTTCCTTTTGGTAAACGTTATCAATATTGTCATCATTTCTGTATATAATTTCTTTGTATAAGGATTAAGGCGATAGTATATTATAAATGCATAAAGCTGTCAGTGGGGAGAAATCCAAAAGAACAAAGTGTTTGTGCACCTAGATAATTATATGCAAATGCCCAGCTTTTTCATAAAAGCTTCAGAAGGTAAGCCTATAAAGTTTGTAGTCTCTCAAGGTGATTGCTTTTATTTACTTTTTGAATTTAATGAAAATTTGTTGCTTGTTTTGTATCTATAGAGCATTTGAATTCTTTTATACGTCTTAGAGTCCGCTTGTCAATCACCCTAGAATCAAAGTGTTTTGATAGCATTGTGTTGAATGTATAGGTTAATTTGTGGAGAATGCACATCTTAATATTGAATCTTCCAATCCATGGATATGGTATATCTATCCATTTATTTAGGTCATCTTTAACTTTTCTTATGGAAGTTTTGCAATTTTCAGCAAACAGATCTTGAACATCTTTTTGAAATTTATTCCTAATTTTTTTCTGATTTATCGTGTTATATTAAATGACTTTGAAATTTGAATTTCCAACATTCTTTTCTAGTATGTAGAAATACAATTGATTTTGTTTGTATATTAACCTTGTGTTCTGCAACCTTATTTATTAGTTCTAGTAGCTTTTTGTTGTTGTTTTTGATTCCTTAGCACTTAGAGTTTTCCTTGTATGTGATCACATCATCTGCAAATAAGGACAGTTTTGCTTCTCCGTTTTTCTTGTCTTAATCAACTAGTTGGGACCTCCAGTACATATTATACTAACTTTGCATTCCTGGGATAAATTCCACTTTGTCAAAATGTATTTTTCCTTTTATATATGGCTAGATTTGATTTATTAATAGTTTAAGAATTTTTGCATCTATGTTCATGAGGAATATTGGTCTGTAGGTTCTTTTCTTATAATGTCTTTATCTAATTTGAATGTTAGTACAGCAGTGACCTCTTAAAATAAGTTGAGTTGTGTTTTCCCTTTTATTTTTTGGAAGCATTTGCATAAAGTTTCTATTATTTCTTTTAAAATGTATGATAGAATTTGTCAACGAATCCTCCTGGGCCTATAGTTTTAATTTGGGGAAGGTTTTTAATTTCAGACTCTAAATTTTTTAATAGATATATGGCTATTCAGAATTTCTATTTCTTCTTGGGTCAGTTATATTAGTGTATGCCTTTCAAGATATTTGTCCATTTCATCTATGTTGTCAAGTTTCTTGGCATAATTTTTTTCATAATATCTCCTTTTTTAATCATTTTTATTTTTATAAGATCTGTACTGATATCTCCTATTATATTCCTGATATTGGTAATTTGTTTTCTCTCTTTTGTTCTCTATAAGTCTTGCTAAGGGTTCTATTACTTTTATTAATATTTTTAAAGAAATAACTTTAATTTTTTTCTATTGTTTGTCTTTTTTATATCTTATTCATCTCTACTCTTATTTTTATTTCCTTCCTTATACTATAGTTACTTTGTGTGTCATTTGCTCTTTTTCTGGCTTCTTAAGTTGGAAGCTTTATTTTAATACCTTTCTTTCCAAATACAGGCATTTTAAATTATAAATTTCCATCTTAGCAATACTTTAAGTGCATTCCATAAATTTTGCTATGTTGTGTCTTAGTTATCATTTGGTTGGAAGAAAAAATATTTCCCTTTGATTTATTCTTTGATCCATGAGTTTTTAAGAAGTGTATTGCTTAATTTCTCATTATATGAAGAGTTTTCTAGATATTTTATTGTTGATTTCCAACTTAATACCCTTGTGGTCATGGAACATACTCTCCATGATTTTGATCCTTTGAAATTTATTGAGACTTATTTTATGGCCTCCTGATCTATCCTGGTGAATTTTCCAAGTGCACTTGAAAATAAGTTATGTTCTTCATTCGTTGTGAAATGTTCTATAAATGTCACTTATCCTAAATTGTTGCACAGTGTTATATGTCCCTGGTGATTTCTGTATCCCTGCTGATTTAGTCTACTTCTATAAGTAACTGATAGAGGATTGTTAAAATATCCAACTACTAATTTGAGGTTTTTTCTGTGCATGTGTCATTTTTTTTTTTGCTTTATATATTTTGAAACTGTGTTATTAGAGCTTATCTTAATATTGATTGTGTATCTTATGCATTGATTGAATGCATCCATTTAGGAGCCTATTGTAATAGTCTCAATAAAAGCAAAAGAGGAACTGAAGAAGGACATTAGTAGCGGCAACAAATACAAAAGGTATTGTGGAGGACTTGGTGAAAGATTGGACAGGGCTGGCCCCGTGGCTTAGCGGTTAAGCGCGCGCGCTCCGCTACTGGCGGTCCGGGTTCGGATCCCGGGCGCGCACCGACGCACCGCTTCTCCGGCCATGCTGAGGCCATGTCCCACATACAGCAACTAGAAGGATGTGCAACTATGACATACAACTATCTACTGGGGCTTTGGGGAAAAAAATAAATAAATAAAATTAAAAAAAAAAAAAAAAAAAAGATTGGACAGTGTAAGTGAGAAAGAAGGAAGACTCACAGGAGACTCTATTGTCTCAGTGGTTTTGCCATTGGGAAGAATAGGAAAGTCAGGGGCTGGGGCTGATTTGGTGGGAGAGAAGAGGGGTCCCATTTTTTACCTATTTCTTAAAATTGCAAATTAAACAAAAAGGTCTTGGGAAGACCCAAACTTTTGTAACAGAGAAATGATATGGTAATCTTTTGCCTTACATGTGTAAGATGTTGTATTAGCTGTCTCATGATTCAGAAATAATGAGAACTTTTATATAAATAATGAAGACCAAGCAAAGACTATTAGAATTGGAGACTCATAAACATGTGTATTAGGAGGTAGGATGAAATAAATACGTTCACATGTTCCTGGAGAAAAGGGGAGTATTGATTACTTCTGTTGAGGCCCATATGGGGAGGTTTTCAGCAGGACATGTCATTTGATTTATTTATTTTTTTTTTTTTTAATTTTTTATTTATTTTTTTTCCCCCAAAGCCCCAGTAGACAGTTGTATGTCATAGCTGCACATCCTTCTAGTTGCTGTATGTGGGACGCGGCCTCAGCATGGCCGGGGAAGCGGTGCGTCTGTGCTCGCCCGGGATCGAACCCGGGCCGCCAGCAGCAGAGCGCGCGCACTCAACCGCTAAGCCACGGGGCTGGCCCATGTCATTTGATTTAGATCTTGAAGAATGCAGTGAGATTTCCATGAGATGGAGAGGAGGAAGAGATTCTTTACAGGATTTATCTGCCTAATGATCTCTTCTTGCCTACTCCAGCATTTGTTTGCAATGGTATATATAGAAGAGGTGAAGGGCAGCAAAACTGATGATTAGATTTAGATATTTCTGAAGTATCAAAGTCAATTGTTGTAGAAGTTTGTATTTGATTTCTTCATCATATTAGAACCTTAACTGTTAGGTAGAACAAGGTTAACCTATCTATAAGTG